GACACATATGTTTTAACATGATCACGTGGAACACCATGGTGATTACATAATGATCCGTGCATCTAAAAATACACATGTTGGTCTCAACCATTGGATTTCTATATAATATTACTAATAGACATCCGATCAAAAACTTAGAAAATAACATTCTTGTTTTCTTTGCTTTATAAGGTATTGATATTATCTGATCTCTTTATAAGTCTCGAATACTCATCGGATGTGTCTCTCTCTATAGTTGGCCTTCATCAAAACTTCCAAGAAACCTTGATCCGATTGAGTCATCTATCAGATAAAGATTCATGCATGCATCAACTATTAGTTTACGTCCGATGTATACTTCATAAAAATTGTCTATAACTGGTAAAATATGATATGTAGCTTACTTATCGAATACTGACAAAGGTATGATTTTTACTTGTAAAAGTTTATAACTATTTGTATTGAACTAAGAGTGAAATACCTTCAACAAAATAGAAGACTAGTTGAAGTGAGGTCAAAATCGTCACCAAATTGGATTGGATTATCAACTAGTTGAAAGAAGATCAATACAAGATAAAATGTCAACTAATAGTCTGACAAATACTAATTTTAGCAAGTCGAATCATGAAGTACAAACTTGGCCAGCAAGTTTGGTTCACCAACTTGCTTCCTTCGTTGGTATGAAAACATGTACATGTCAATTTGAGCAAATCCAAAAACACCATATGATTGGTACTTTGTTTGCTTTATTGTTCGCTTGACATATTAAAGGAGATAGTAAGTTAAAAATAGTGTCTATATCAAACTCAAAGGTAGAAATGAAAAGTACTAGGTTACATGGATCAACCAACCAGAAGAAAACACACATAAAAGATAATGTATTTAATGCAATCGTGGCTATAAAATGACACCCTTGGCATTCATTGCAACTCACCCATTTTGAAAAAAACAACCACCTTAAGAGTGTTTCTGAAGTAAATTCGATGTCATCCTCCAAATAACATCCTTTGTTTGTCGGATCTGAAAGAGAACCTTTCTCTCTCTCCCTTTCTTTCAGTTAACAAATTTGACTGTAACACCCCAAAAAATAAGGACTACAAAATTCCATAAATAAAGTGGAATAGTGGTATAATATATCAAGATACGAGCTTGTCCAAAAAGGGAACAATATACAACTATTAAATTACAAATTGTAAATAAATGGTTTGAGGTTAACAACTTTCTAATCTAACCCTCAAAGAACTAGATTATAATCGGTTGTCAACCCAAACCATCAAAAGGTCAAACATTTGCTTAGTGCCCCAAAATCCTCCCCAAGCTCACTCTACAAGCCAATCAAATTTTCTTGGCAATCATGTCGTTGGTACCTGAGATGCATGTCGACACAAACAAGGGTTAGGCCAAAAAGCCAAGTGAGCATGAACATAACATAACAAACACAATTTATTGGTTGAAAACATTTATAACATTTAATTGGGATTAACTGGGGAGACCCATGTCACCTTAAGAAACGGATGACCTTAGTGTCTTTAATTGTAGATATCACCACAAGGCCCGACATACTTAAAGACTACCTACAAGGCATTACTTCAAGCGACGGGGATCCTGATGTGTCACCAAGACAACACTTTATGACTCAACCCTCGCCTACTCAAAGATTCCACCCAACATATAAAATAACAAGTAGAACTATTTATATGATTAAAATAATAAAGTATGTTTCCCATACCAAGGTTAAATTAGTGGTCCAACCAAAGTACAAAACATGTTTACAAAATAATCCCCAATGACCTCAAAACTAGGTCAATAATGTCTCAAAATACACCATATATTATTTTCCAAGTTCTTTACTCAATCCTTATGAAATATCTTTTAAAGCAAGTATGATCAAGGGTAGACAATAAATACGAAATCATAAGGCGCAATTTCATTTTATGCATAAAAGCCCTAAAAATGAGATAACACAACCAAATCACCAATTTATGAACTAACACTTGATATGAAGTTAGAAATGCAAGTAAACCAAGCATTTAGACATGTATCTGGTTTTTACAAAGCATTTTATACTCATCTACTAGGTTTATAGAGAAAACCTAGAAGATGAAGTGGACATCATGAACTTGGCACCAAACTTTGACCCTTTACAAGAAACAATGAATGGAGCCTTTGAAATCTCCAACAAAATCAGCCTTTAATGGAACTCTTGGTAGAAAAATAAATGAGGGGAAAGATGGAGGTTTGAGGTAGTTAGGAACTTGGGGAAAGTGAGAGAGGGTAAATGAGGAGAGAAAGGAATAATGAACCGGGGATGAATGTCAGTGCAACTCAAGAAGAAATCTAGTCGTGCATATGTAGGTTTATATAATTTGGGCGGGTTTCATGCGGTTTAAGCCACATGAAAGCCCCGTTCCCATCGTTTGGCCGCACACGGATCACACAAGTCGCACTTGGGTGGTTTTCCATGCGAGTTAAGCCGCATGGAAGCCCTGTTCGCTTCTGTTTGTTTCCACCCTTAAGGGTGCTCCCAACCGCAACAAAACACAAACTAAAGCATCTCCCATGCGGTTTTAGCTACACGGTGAGCCACCCGACTCCCTCCCAAAGTCAATATAATTCCTTTCATCATACTTTAACCTCTAAATAAAATACAATTTACCATGCGGCTCTCAAAGTTCAAATTTTCTTAGTTGAGAGGACTCCAAGGCTAAAACAAATAAATAAAAGAAAAACACGGGTGTTACATTATCAAAGTCGGATTGTTTAGGATCACAAGTTTTACCTTCCTAACTTTCACAACAAATCTGTAATTCTATATTTTTATAGAAGTTATAAAACGAATATTTAAAATGTGAAATCCTATTGTGTTTGTATTCATCACCCCTCTCTACAAACACTTCCTGTGAAAGCTATTACTTCCTAGGACCAACAAGTGGTATCGAGCGGTTTGTTTAAACTTATAAACAAGATCCAAAATGACTTCCACAACCAATAATCATGGCATCTTATCCGAATCTTTAGGTCTTCAAAAACCCATCCTTTTTCTATTTAGAAGATCGGATGATCTATCTTCGTTTTCATCATTTTGTTTGTTCTGAATTATCGGATAAGCTCTCATATTTTTGGACAATAGAAGGCAAAATGATGAAAATCTTCGAATTCCATAGAATTCTTATCTTCCTTAAAAACATGCATTATATGTTCTTCTATATCCCTGTATCTGATAACATTATTAACAACTCAAAATTATGAATTTCTCAATAAAGTATCTTCTAAATCTTAAAAAAGTTTCTAGAAACTTGGAAATATCCAAAAGTTTCTCATCAGAAAGATTTATTTCAAGATAATCTTATGAGAAAATCCTTTTTAAGACTTATCCTCATGCATGTTTCCTTTCTTTCTCTCTAGATATTAAAATTTCCCTTGTCACTAAGTATTTACTTTATATCTTGTTTTATCTTGCTCTTAAAAAACCCATAACTTTATAGGTGTTTAGTCACTAATCATCGGACCAGGTCATACCCAAATATGATTCTTGGACAGTGGATGTTCAAGGTATATGACTGGTTATGTTTCTCTGCTCAAAGACTTTGTTCCAAAAATAGGTCATTCTGTTACTTTTGGTGATAATTCAAAGGATCCACTCTAGGTCATGGAATTTTAACAAATGGGTCTACAACCTTCGACAAAGTTGCCTATGTGGAAGGACTTAACAGTCAACTTTGTGATAAAGGTTTTTCTGTCAAATTCCTGAAAAATAAATGTTCTATTCTTTCTTCTAAGAACACTGAACTTATGTCTGATTTTCGTAAAAACAATGTCTATGTAATTGACATGTCTTCTGCACGCTCTCTATCTGCTCAAAACATATGTTTCTTCTCTAAGGCTTTCTCTGAACAAAACTGGTTGTGGCATAAACGTCTATCTCACTTAAATTTTAAAACCATCAATGAACTTTCTCATAGAAGTCTTTGTGAGAGGACTTGCTTCTTTATATTTCTACAAACACAAACTTTGTGGACCTTGTAAGAAAGGGAAGCATTCGATATCCAGTTTCAAGTCTAAATGTTGTTTTTCAATTTCTACTCCTCTTGTGTGGACCAATGAATGTTATAAGTCCGGGTGGAAAAAGATATACCCTAGTCATCATTAAAGAATTTTCAAGATACACTTGGGTCATTTTTCTTTTTGCCAAAAGTAAGGCAACCGAAGAAAAACATTCGGTTCATAAAAAGAGTGGAAGTTCGAAACAATTCCTCTGTTAGGGCTTTGAGAAGTGACAATGGAATTAAATTAAAAAAAAAATCTATTATGGATAACTTTTGTTCAAACAAGGGTATTTCTCATAACATTTATGCATCTAGAACTTCCCAACAAAATGATATTGATGGAAAGAAGAAACAAACCCTTGTCTGAAGCTGCCAAATCTATAGTTAACATTACATGTTTCACCTAAAATCGAGCTACTGTTATAAAAAAGACATCAGAAGACTTCCTATGAACTCTTTCATTGTTAATTTTTTATATAATTTATTTTTTATAGTAATTGTCAACCATGAATTGCTAGCAGTCGAGTTTGTTAGTTAATGTATAGTTATTAATTTTTTGTTAATTATTAATTGTTACTGTCTGGGTTTTTTTGTTGATGATGAATTGTCAACTTTTTGTTTTTTTACGAATTTTCACCCTAATCAAAGAGATAAATAAGATGAAACTATTTACGTAGAGGACATCGTCAACCACGTGGACACGTAACCTTACTTCAATTCCGACCCCCATAACCAAAATTTCTGGATCCGCCACTGCTTACTTTACTCGATAAGAGTGTAGTACATTAAAATAATATGCAACAATTTAACCAATAAACGATTACCAAAAAAAAGTTGTCATCTTCACTTACCGAAAAAGACTCGATTAAAATAATATTATACATATATATATATATATATATATATATATATATATACCATTTGCTTCTGATTCTTTAACATCATCTTTGAAATATCACTATCGAACACCCTTTTGGCTTCAGTCAGTTTGTTTTGATCTTTTCATTCCGTTTCCATTTATAACAAAAAAGAAAGATGGAGGGCAAGTATTGCATTGCAGAGGCTGCACCAAAATCAAAATAAAGATACCAAAGAATTTACAAAAATTATCAGCCACCCACAAGGCCAATTGAATCCACCATTTTGTCGTCGTGATCACATTTATAACAAACAAACTTCAACGGCACCACGTCGGAATCCAGGATACCGGCACACCGTGTGTGTTGCCATACGCCACACACATCACACGCCAGCATCCTCTCGCCATCGTCATCCTTGGCTCCACATCTACAATCCAACATCCATGTCTCCACCCCTCTTTCCATTCGGAACTTACTTAGCGAGCCTTTCCCAACATACTTCCCACGAACACCAACCGTTTCGATCTTCGACCCAAACAGAAGCTTGATTTGGGTGGATTCATCAACACCTCTATAATCAACAAGCTCTTCTGCTTGAAATCTTCTCAGAATCAAATAAACTTCCTGAAAAGCCTTCGATGCCTCTACCTTAAGGTCGTAAATGGTGGCATTAGGGGAAACGATTATGTGCTCAGGAGGTGGGTTCACGAAGGTTTCTTCGGTTTGTTCCACCGGTTCGAGTTTACACGAGATTATAAGTGAATACGGGTTTGCTTTTGAGAAGAAGCATTCTGGGTGGTAGTTCTTCACAAACTGTTTGCAATCGAGAATCTTCATGGCTGAGCTTACTGCTGTGTTCCTCTTTGTAATGGGCATATGATTTGTGTCCAATTGAGGATGGAGTAAAGCTTCATATAAGTATCTTAGATCCCGCAACAAATGATCTTCGGACGGGCTACTAACAATCGGGTGATTGTTGGTGGCATAGCTCAAATGCGCACTACCGGGTTCAAGCCTGTATCAGTTGATGAAATCACTCATCAGCTCGATTCAAAATAAACCAAACCAGTTTATATGACTTAAATTTATGGACCAAATAATTGTGCATCCAATCTTCTACGTAAATATATTACAATAAGTTGATACGACGCTCTTGAAATTCTAACAAGCTTTTTATAACATTCTTCTAATAAAGTGTCGCATTACCTTTTCTACCAACACTCGTGAGAATCCTCTTACCAACATCTTTTTACAAAGACATTTTTTTTCCCCAAAAGATGTCATAAAAAACTAAAACGATGTTCTATTTCAAAACTTGTTAGGACTCCAAAAATGTCGGCTCAATTCATTGCAATACATTTACATAGGACACACAATTGTTAAGCCATATAAAGTGAAGTCGTATAAAGCAGTATATTAAAACATTTAGATTTTTGGCGTCCTACAAAACTTGTCAAACCAACCATACAAACAGAGTATGTCCCACCCAGATTTGGGATCTAAGGGTCGGATGTATATTGAAATGAGCTCTACCTCAATAAGTAGAAAGGCTGAAATAATTCAGCTAGATTCAACATAAACATAATACCAAACCAAACAAACCCAGTATGTCTCATTCGAATGGTGGGATCTTAGCCTCTACCCCAAAGAGTAGAATGTTTATTTCCGTGAGATTCAACATAAACATGGCAAGTGCAAATTTGGAGGAAGCATTAACCTGTATTCAAGAGCACCAGAATCCGGATTGGCTCGGGCATTAACCACCATACCATCAGCTGCTTGTTTCCCTTTTAGTTCCTTAAGGCAGTAATCCAACAGTTCAGGCTCACCAACTCGACAAACAGCCCCTCGTAAAGACCGCCAACAGACCCATGATGAACCACTGACTGCTCGTAGAACTCTAACCATTGCTTCCTCAACACGTACTATGTCACTTGTGTTCCAAACACATAACACCCTCGACTCACTTAATCTAACCTTCTTGGGGGTCCTAAAATCGACCATTGTGCGGTTCTTGTTAGCGTCATGTAATAAGGTCGTCAAGTAACGAAAGAGTTCTCTAATTGTTACAAGTTCCACCTCTGATAAGATTTGATAAAAGGCTATCAAGTCCTGCAAGTGTGTTCTCGGTTTACGGCCTTGTGATAATAAGGTAGATAACGGCACATTTGCTAGGGTTTCAATGGCGTCGTTGTAAGCTTCATGAGTAATAGCGTAACTTCCAGAACCAAACTCGTAACCCCAATCTCCATACCATGGATGACCCTTAACGACAGAGTGAAGTAGCCGAAACTCCAAACCGTATTTCTTCGAGACATCCATAACGCTGACTTGCCTATTCACAAGAAAACTATTAGCCAAGTGCACAGAACAACACACAAAGGACGCGTTTGGTATGCAGATAGAAGTGGATGAACAAGAGTGAGATTAGCAGGTGAAATAATTGTTGAAGGTTTTAGGGTTTTAAATTGACATAGGTAATTCCATAATATACCAAATGCACCCTGAAGTTGGCAACTTTTTCAAACGACAATTTCATAACGAAGAAAACGCTAACCTGACTCCAAGTGCTTTGCAGAGGCGATCCCAAAAGTCCATAATATGGCTGCCTGAGAGGACCTGAGATCCGCCTTCTCTGCCATTGACTCTGAGGATGTGACCGTAACCGTTTACATGGACAACTCCATGTAAAAGATGATTGGTATCATCCAGCTGGTTATACATCCAGTCCTCAATATCTTTAGTAGTCATGACATGGTTGCATGACTTGCACCTGCAAGACCTCAACATCAATACATATAAAATGACCCTCAACTTTGCAGTTTTAAACTCTAAATACTAATGACCTTGGATACATTACAAGTTCAAATGTCACCATTTTATCATCAATGGTTTTGATTTATTTGTTTCGAATTCATATGACATCTTTCATATCTTCCGAGATTCACCTTACAATATGGGGTAATAAAGATTTTAACCCTTGTAAAAACAAAACAAAATCAAACAAATTTAAGTCAGTAAATCACAGTCTAAATTAGCATACCTTGAGTCAGACAAATGGAGAGAAGCACCACAACCAGCACATGACTTGTTGTAGCCACCAATGGAAGCTCCATCGCCCTTGATTATAAAATGGTACCTCTTTCCACAGACTGGGTTACCGCTCCACCCTTCATATGAAAAATCCAATTATACAAACCTTCATTTATTACAAAAAACTCTAAACAACTATTTCCTAAACGAACCCCATGTACTAATTCAACCCTATCAATTTCATACCCACATACATTTACATCAAACCCTTTCTTTTTTGCATTACTAATAGTATACTATGATTTGATCAAAAGGGATTCAAATAGCCAGCAAGAACGATTGCAGAGATTTGGAAGAAAAAAAGCGAGACGAGGTTGCTAGTTCAAGTTTCTTCAAGAACACTTAATTTTTATTGGATAATGAGTCCCGATTTTGCAACGAAAACAAAAAATGGAAATAAGATCTCCAAAGGGCAATGCTATTTTCATTCTTTAATGTCATAATCAAATCAAATTATGTATAAAATATACGTTTTAACGTTGATGTGTTCATCATATATCAAGAACGTAAAAAGTGTGTTTTGGTGTTGACATGTCCACAATGCGACAGCGGGGTTCGTATGTGGTGATATTTGCGTAAACCGGGATACCAGAATGACTATAGAGAAAGAATAAAAGCACAAAAGAGGGAAATAAAGGGTAAAATATCCAGGTGAAAGTACTGACACCTTATCTTCTTTAAAGAAAGCACTATACGACCTCGTATTAAAATTGGCCTGCTGCATATAACACACTCATGACCCACCAACCCCACATGGCATAACAAGCAATTCAATTGAAATTGAAATGTTTTAATTATTGTATGATCATAATAAAAGTAAGCAAAATAAATGTATAAATAATTATTACCAAAAAATAAAAGAGAATAAATAAATGTAATGGACCAAACCCACGAATGTCGTTAATGTTTAGCCACCACCATGTGTCAGCGTCACGCATATCTATGTTGTATCCCATGGTAAGCCCCACATCATCCATGTCTTTATATTATTAATTATTAATTATTAATTATTAATATTAATATTAATATTAATTATCCAGTTGTTAATTTGTTGTTGTTAAAGTAGGGATTATTGTTGTTATTATTATATGATGTTTGATTAGGGAAAGTAATCATAATTATCATTAATTAATCAACAACTTTCCCGCCAAACCCAGCTGGCAAATGAAACGACGAACGGATTCTTTTGGATATTTCTAGAAGGCAAACAAGAAAACAGGCGAAAGACGACCGAGTCAAAATTGAATCGTTTCGGTCGAGTTGAGTTAAACTCACCAACGACTCGGCACTGATCGCAATACACCGACCTAGATCTGGTCACGTCTTCCTCCACCACATCAAGGCACACAGACGCATCGCCATTCACGTTGCTCCTCTGTTCCCCAACTCGAAACAGGATCTGCCACGTCAGCAGATGCGGGAGGAGAGACGACGGCGGAGGGAGGAGCGCGTGTCTCAGTAAAAACTCCCTTACGCTTGTCCTGAAAGGTCCGGTGGCCGTGTATTCGCCGGAGGGAAAAGTGAGAAAATCGTTGAGATCGGCCGTTACTCTCCTCTTCATCCTCTTCAAGGGACGGCCGTTCACGACCATCGTTTTGAAAACGTCAGATCCCGATGTGTCGACACAAATCAGAACGTCATAAGATGAAATCAACAAGAAATCGCTCGAAAGGAAGCAGAAATTAGTGGGTATGGGGAAGGAGAAGAGGAGATTGAGACGGAAATTATGGGTTGAATCGTGGGTTGGAGATGCGAATAAAAATTGAAGGGCGTAGAGTCGGTTCCGGGGGGGGGGGGGGTATGAAAGGGATTTTCTTGAAAGGCGATTTGGAATCTATCCGTTTGACAATTTATGGTAAGCTTTTTAATTCTGATTTTAAATCTTCGCGATTAAGTTTAGCCTTCAATATTTAATATATATATTTAAATTAAACCAAACATATGATATGGATTTAATATAATCTTGGGGCACTCACACGTATATTATATATATATATATATATATATTAAATATTAAATATCAACAGTAACTTTGGATTTTAGTGCACATGAATTCTTTGGAAAGCCAAATTCAAAGCGGTTGCAAAGGGCTTTATTTTTCAAAAGAATAACCAAATAATTTAAAGATAAAAACATGAATTATATTTAATTGTTAAACATATCTTGCTAATTTGAATCTATTTCATAAAGAACCCAAAAGAAATATTTATAAACCATAAGAATGGTGTTTGATTGGTTTGAGCTTGACTCTAAAGCCTAAAGGTAAAAAAAATCAGAAGGTCTCAAGTTCAAATCCAAAGAGGAATAAAAATCTCTTTGTGACCACGGAGGTTCAAATGCAGTGACTTCGGACTATCTGCAAAATAAGTGGTCGTCCTGAGATTAGTCGGCTCGCATAACGAATTGGATATCCACGTTAATAAAAAAATATTTATAATTGTTTTATTATAATTTAAATAATATAATTTATTTTAGGTTTGATGAAATATTCTGCTATTTATATCTATGTTATATTATAAATTATTTAACAAAAAACTTTTAAAAATCATTTTTTATGTATGAAGTATTGTTTATTGATGCATATTGTTTAAAGAGAAAAGTCCAAAAAAACCCAATAGACTTTACTGTTTGAAATGATTAAGTCTTTGGACAATATTTTGTAACAAATAAATCATTGGACATTTTAGAACTTGTTAAATAAGTCATTAGACATTATAAAACATGTTAAATAACTCTTTGGACTTTTTAAAATCTATTAAATACATTATGTTAGTGGAAAAAGTCCGAAAAAAATTAATGAACTTTCATATTTTAAACGATCAAGTCTTTAAACATTTTTTGAACAAAAAAAGTACTTACATTTATGAAAAAAACAAATATACCATTCTCATTACTCTTCACAAAACATATAAAAGTTGTATACAAAGTGTAACACCCTCATTTTTTTTTTTGAAGATGTCACGTAATCTGAAACAAATTCTTAAGTAAAAATTCCAAAAGACGGCTAACATAAAACCGTTTGAACTGTTTACAGCGGAGGTCCTTGAACCGTTCAAAAATCTACTTAAGTTCTAACCCATCTCATACTGGGTTACATTACAAAAGATAAACATAACGTCAAAAGACTAAAATAAAATGATAAGTAGCAATTTTCTAAGCGTGTACTTTGCTCTTATCCGATCTCGAACTACCTGGCCCTGAGATGCATACTATAGTCAACTTATAAAGCTCAGTGAGTTCATGGTTTTCGTGTGTAAAAATCATTGTACATCATACATTTCAACTTGTAAACTTTGTACCAAATAGTATGCATT